TTTAAAAAAGCTGACAAAGGCACGAGCCGACAACCCCACCTGTTTTCCGTGCCAAGTGAACAGCATCAATGGGAGGTGGAGAAAAAAAACGAGTAAAAAAGTGTGTCTAGCCCATTGAGGACTGGTTTCGGCTACCGAATAATAGACTAGGCTAAATGCTCTATTGTAGCTCTCTATTATAGCTCTCGAGAGTCCTCGAGTTTGAAAGTCAAATTCCTTAATTTTCTATCCAATAGTGATAGTTTGAATAAATACATAATGTTTAGTCCAGCTGCAAACCTGCAACCATCTGGGCATTTATTACATAGTATTGTTATTAAAACTACCAGTTTATCATAAAAAAATTATAATTTTTTTTTAAATTCATAGGCTATTAAATAAAATATAGAAATAAATATAATTTTTATTTTACTGTATTTTTTATTTTTATATATTTCATTTTTCTTATGTTTTTATGCATCTTTTTATGAGACCAACAATTATTTTATCTTTAAATAGACTTGGTGGCTCAATGTAAATGAATTTTCAGTAACATAAAAATAGTTAAAAAATCATATAGAAATTACTTTTATGTAAGAAGAAAACAAGGCCGTTCTAGAGGTATAAAAACCTATTCGAACTAGAATAATAATTCGAGATGTATCAAGTGGCTTTACCACGAAATAAATTTCAATGTTAGGCCGGAATCAAACCAGCGCCGCTAAACTCGAGGATGCCAATGCGCGCACGCCTTAACACGCTCGGTCATCGCGTTTTTGAGAGAAACACAAAATTCCTTAGTTTGATTTTTAATAAAATTAAAATGCAGTTTTTAGTTATAATAAAGAAATATTAATTGATCCGATATTAACCAATCAATCAAGCCAACATGGTTCAGAACTGTTTACTATGGGACCCACGTAACAGCCTACGAGGTCATAACGTTCCGTAGTAGAGGAATCTCTTATATTTATATGTTTTAAATTATCATTTTATATTTTATTTTTTTATTATTGTACCCAAACATAAATAAAATTATTATTATTTCTTCTGAGTGGTGTGTTAGTGTATTCGTATCCCTGAGCAGATAAAATCAAATGGTCCGCAAATTCATCACTATCCACATGTGAATAACAGATGTTTATATATAACTGTATAAGATAAAAAGACTTAAATTTATTTGAGTAGCAGATATTATAATGAACAATTAGTCTTCAAAATGCTTTTGTTAAAATAATTTGAAATGTATCATTCATTTTAATTATTTAGGGTAAGCTTATCAGTGCTGGAAATAATAAGGTGCTAAGGAAATTTCCTTCTTTTTTTGCCTTTTTCTGCCGTAATTATTATAGTTATAAACTTCTCTGTTTGACGTTTAGAATCTCTAGAGTCTCCTTTTTCAATTTATCTGTTTAAAATTGAAAAAATATTCAATTATTGATTGATACCATGACATTCAATTGTTCTAGTAATAGACAGGGGGTCAGTACCAGTAATGTACAGAGATGGGCAAATGCTTTTCTGAGTACCGAGTACCAAGTATTTTACTCAAATTGAATCACTATTGAGAATTTAATCACTATTCAGTTAATTATTTGGCATCAACTGAAGTAGTAATTAAATTCTTTGGTACTCAAAAAAGGTCAATATTTGAGTAAAATATTTGGTGTTTGGTACTTAGAATAGCATTTGCCCATCTCTGATAATGTACATAGCCCAGAGAAATTCTATGATTTTTATTTAACTATAAAGATAAGATAAGATAAATATTCAACTTACTCTTAGCAAAACTGTTAGAAGTAAGGTATGAAGCACACTGATCTCAAGAGCGCTATAGAAACAAAAATGATAGGCAGTTTAAAATTTTCTTTTGGGAACTTTATTATATTATATGGCAGTTGTCAATAAAGGGCATTTTTCTTTAATCTAGAAAAAAAACTGTAACCTTTAAATCAACAAGAAAGCTTATTATTTAAATTTAAAGTCCAACCTGTCTATCACCGGGACCCCTGTCAATAACTGGTGAGTTCAACCTACCTAGTTTTAGTTTCATGAATTCAGAAAGAATTGTTGAAAAACCTACAATAGTATATAATATTAAAATATGCTTTTTCCAAGAAAGAGATTCATATTACTATAATAAAAGAATATTATAGTTTTTTTTTTTTTTGTAGCATTATTATAGTGGAAGGGACGAAGAAGCCTTTAAGGAAATCAAAAATAGCTCTGAGACGGGTTTGTTCCTGACAGGGATTTATTAGCGAGCGAAGGGGAAAAGACCCCTTCCCCCCATTCCTTATAAAGGAGGCCGGAGTAAATTGCTTGTTATTCTCGATAGAAGCCACCCTTCCGAAGAAGAAGAAGAAGTGGAATAATTTTAAATAAAGTAGGGAGGACCGAGAATAAGATTAAAGCCCGAGAGCATATCGTCAATTAGGGAGAGTCCTCAGTTCTTTCCCTCCCCGCAAGGAGGGGCCCTCCCCGCTCCATTTCCCGCCCCTCCTCGGCCTCCTAAATATTTAAAATGCTCGCTCCTCCTGGATTATCCACTTACACACTCCGACTTCCGATATTAAATGTTATCCCCAGGGAGGTGGGTTATCTTTCCCTTGTTATATCCGACGGCAGAAGAATAATCGTCAGGATGAATTTATAGAAGGGTCAGTCATAGCTGGCTTACCAACTTGGAATAAATTCAATCTGACTTCTAGCTCGTATGAAATTTAACTGTTACGTCAATATGTATTGTCAGTATGTATGCCGATAAATAAATCGACCTTCATCATCTATCGACACATATTATTCACGTGTATTAAATATTTATATTACTATAAAAAACCAATGAAATGAAAAAAATATTAAATACAAAATTATACTTCTTATATTCGGAACTTTGGAGGAACCACTATATCTAAGCCAACGGTCTGCAATGGGAGGAACAAACTTAACCACAAGTCGTTTTCCATCATTTAGGTTGCTCACTTTATAGAGGCTGGGTGTGCCCTCGAGAAGTCACCCGCTCCCACTGTCGATTTACACCTGTTGTAAAATAATGAACGGCTTACTAACTGAACTACAACGTTTCTAAGAGCATAGAAAATGTAAAACTGTATAAAAGGAAAGTATGGAAATAAAAATGTATGTAGTTAAAAATAAATAATAGATATTGTTTAAAAAATAACAGCTTAATAAATAACAACCACCATCTCCAATATAATAATACAATGACGTAACATCGTCATAATCAGCCAAGCCACTTAACTAATTGTAAGTTAAATTCATTGACAATAACATCAGAAAAAGACTGCTATGAGGGATCAGTTTTAGTGTTGCCCAAATGCGAGACCGAGATGAATCTTGGTCTTCCAAACTCAATCTTTGTCTAGGTCTTCGTCTTGCGCGAGACTCTCGTAACCGTCTTGCAGTTACCTATTAGCTTATTTCTAGAGAGATATTACTGTAATCTTTTAGGTATGAGAAATCTAACTAAGTCTGAATGAAACATTAGAACAGTTAAATGCAAAAATATATTGGTTGCACCAATTCTTTACATATAGTGAATAAAATTGTCAAGTATTAGTAACTAATTTGCTTAAATTTTTATTCAAAAACTCGATTTTTTTTACCAGTCTTGGTTTTGGTCTTGCAACAGATAGACGGTGTTGGTCAAGAGCAAGGGACCAAAGTGCAAGACCAAGACCGATTTTGGTAACACTAATCAGTTTAGCTTCCTCACCAATTCTGCTGGGTAAATAATTATTTGTATTTTAAAAGTTATTGATTTGAGAATATAATTACCGGACGAGCCGTTTTTTAAATACTGTCTTGGCAAGAAATTTTATAAAATTGATGCTCAACAAGTTTTGCATTATTAAAACTTTGAGCCAAATCAGAATATGCATTTTAAAAAAATATATACCCCTTTTATGATATAAACGTTTGCGCATGTTCATGTGAAAATACTGAAATGGATGCAGTTATTCAAGACAATAGAGGTATGGAATTTTTTTCTTGACGTTTAAATCATAACACAAGAGTGTTAATTTTTTAATCTCAAGACTTTTTTTTTTATTTTTTATTTAATACAAAGCTATTCGGCTTTCGTTATTGTTTCAGGCAAAATCCAATCTTTTGCTTGTTTATTAAGAACTGCATTTCCAAGAGGCTTTCCAAGCAATCGAATTTAAATGTGAGCACATAAAATTAACTTGTATCATTGCAACCTTGCATTTAGCAGTTAGTATGAACTTCCTATTTCTTGAGCTAGGATTATAACTGCATTAAGAGAACAAGGTTTATTCCTATATCTGATAAAGGATGAGTTATGAATTTCATCCACAACTGACATAAGATAAAATAACCAGTTAGTTGTTGAATTCGAACTCGGGACCTGGAATTAGAGTAGAAAACTTTATCAGTTAAGATACCCCACAATAATCCAAGTGTTAACACGTTTAATAAATAATAATAATAATAATAAGGTCTAACGATCTCGAAGGTTCGATGCCGACACCACCAATCACTTATTATACCCGTCCCTCCACCAGTCAACGACCAAAACCAGTCCTTTCAGACCAGCCTTAACTTAACTCAATCTTCGGTCAACCCCTCGGACGTTTACCAGCAGGCACAGCAAATATTATTTTTTTAGGAATTCTCTAGTTACTAAGTCCAGCAATTTCACACGTCCATTTATTTCGCCGCCATTTACTCACCTTAATTATATTAACCAGATACAGTTTACGCAATTCGGCGTTGTATTACCGTCTAAATTATCCGATAAACTCATCCTTCTTCGGTCCGAATATTCTACGCAATATTTTATTTTTAAAAACTTTAAGACGTTGATTACCCCTTACTGTAAGTGGAAATGTTTCACATCCATAAAAAGCTGCGATATTGGTTTTATATATTCTAGTTTTTTAGCCGGAAGCTAAGTAGTTTTGTCACAGAAAAATAATTAGCATTTGTTAGCAGGTTTAAATTTTATTAATATTACACTTGTAATATCATATGATTGAACTTGGACTAGTTTGTAAGGATCATTTCCAAATAAGAATAGACCTATCAAAGATCAAGTGAGATTTAAAAAATATATATGATTGTTACCATGGAACAAAAAAATATTTTTAAAAAAAAGTGTATGTTGGTCCTTATGCAGTACTCGTGATTTCAAGGAATGCACTATCGTAAAATTTCCCACTGCAGGTGACAAGATCGCAAGCAGACGCATTGCATAGGAAATGCGCGGAGAAGTTAAGCGCACTATCTGATGCACCCGCTTCATAAGTCGACGACAAGATGCCATAAAGAGTGTACCCTTCGTGGTGTGGAGGAATTAAGCCTGCCCCCGCTGTATATCCTGCAGTCGCAAACTTTTCATCCTGACAGAAGAGTCTTTATAGTTTAAGTGTCCGTGGAGAACACCGCCGAGTGCCAGGCACTGTACTGCGCTGTCTTCAAGAAGTCGATTTATGTCTTCAGCGCAGCTCAATGGGTCAGGCAAATAAATCCTAACACCATCAAGGAACGCTATAGTCACTCAGTAACTTAGAATTTTCTTGTAACATTTAAGATATTTTAGACTACTAAAAAATAAATTAGATTATTAAGAACACATTTAATTTAAAAGAAAAAAAGATTAAAGAATTGGGGAATGCTATCGATTCTTAGAGGTCGTACTTGCATGTGCACTTATTTACATGGTGTTCGGTTATGTAAATTAACACATACGAATCCTTAAACTTGGTGTAGTAGTCGAGTGCCTTACGCCCTCCAACGAAAATCAAGATTTTCGGTTGTTGAGGTGCACCGATAACTGGGATGGGCGAATCTATTTGCCAGGAGCATGTTAAGTGAAAAGCACACGACTAGTAAACCAAGTTTAAGTATTCATAGAAGTCAATTTCACTAACAATTTACTAAGGTGATTAATTAATCATGCAAATAGTATGGATAGGATTTCTATAGTATTTTTTTTTTTTAGTTAAATATTTTGTTTATTTTGACCTTTTTAATTTTTCTAGTATTGACAATTTATTTCATGAGTGATGCAAGCTCTGGGAAATTCGACTTATCCAAGCTAAATTACAACATATTACTTAAACGTTATTTTAATATTACAAAAAGATTACGAACCGTGTTTATCCCTCTCATCACTTTCTTTTTTCACTGTAACTCTATGCTATTATCATTCTAGGCTGCTTAGTTATCTCGGCTTAGGTACCTCACATGGTCTTTTGCCAACTACTTAAGCATTCATGGTTGCTTAGAGCTCTGTAATAAACGGCTTCAAGATACATGACCAACCCATTTCAAACTTATCTTCTTCAGGTGAATTTTCTTTTTGATATCTTAGTGTGTCTCAACATGGGTGTGTACGTATTAATTAATTCATAGTAATATTTATAGGAAAAAAAAAAGAAATAACAATTTTTTTTTTCTTTGAAGGTATCGAAATCACATATAAATGTATGAATTATAGGATGATATTTCTTATTGTACTTGCGAAATAAGTTTCACTGGAAGCGTAAAAAGACGTATCGACGTTTTTTTTTCATATTAAATGTCCTTTGAGTTTAGATCTCGTTTTATTTTATGTTCGAATGTATAAAACATGATGTATTATTACAAATTTTTAAAAACTTTTTCAATGATAAAAAAGTTTGTGTAAGTGACCGTTACACTTTGGTACACATAAGACAATGGTTTAGAATTAAACTTCCATTTCTAACAAAAATAAATACAACATATTTAAATAATTATATATCCGTTATTACTTTCATTTTTTTTTAGTTATATGTAAATGTACATCGATTTTGGATCTGGGATTTACATTATATTAGAATATATTTTCAAAATTAAAACTATATTGTTGTTAAGTTTTTATAGACATTTTAAACGATATTTGTCAAACTTGGCACTCTTAGGACAAGAATTGTTTATATTAAAGCTTTGATTTTACAAAAAATAAATACTAAATATTAAAATGATTGTTCTCTTATTACTTTCATTTTGTATTAGTTCTAGGTAACTTACACTATTATTTGTATTATTTTTTTAAGCTTAGTGATAAAAAAATGAAATGATACAGTGCTTCGCTTAAAGTTCATTTAGAAATGTGAAAAAAAAAATTTAGAAATGTAAATAAGAAAAATATTTAGAAAGGTTCCTAACGCCACTGAATTTACAACAGGAATGAACATTAAATTCACTAGTTGTTGATAATTTCTTTGACTTTTGTGAATACAAATAATAACTTAAAAAAGAAATGTGAAAAAAAAATTATTTAGAAATTTGAATTTAAAAAAATATTTTGAAGTGTAAATAAAAAATTATTTAGAAATGTAAATTTAAAAAATGTTTAGAAATGTAAATTAAAAAAATATTCACACAGTGTACGGCTTGTGATCAGTTTAATAATAATCAAAATTAGTTTTCGATAGTTATTTATTGTACAATAAATCGAAAACTAATTTTGATTGTTATTAAACTGACCTTATGGCATAGGTGTGATTAGAAACTTAAAATAAATTTCAAAATTGAAAAGTGAAAAAAAAAAATAGAAATTTAAATAATAAGAGTGAATATTTCTTTCAAAATGATTGTTTAAGTTGATCTTTGAAGGTGCGTTTAGACATTTCATAAACTATGAGAAATACAATAAATTATTACCTAACTTTAGATTAGTGACAAGTCAAACTTTTTTCTTATTTCTCTTAGAAGATAGCAAACACCAAAAACAAGAAACAAAAATGCTAGGATAGAGAATTAACCATTTTAATATTTGTATTTCTCATAGTTCGTGATATGTCTAAATGCACTTTGAGAAAATGTATTGTACAAATTATAGGTTTATAACATAACCAACGAATGCTGATATTTTCTGCCTTCACATCATAAAACTCAAACTTTTTTTTTTTTATTGTTTTATCGATTTCTATTTTTTACTCAAGATTCTCGTTCTATAATACATTATACACACATTTATATTCAATAATGAATCGTCGATTTAGTCAAATCTAATGGAACCGTTTAAATTGGAATAAATTAAAGTATTTTTTTTTTTTTTTTTTTTAAACTATTCATTAGCGCTTGGTTCCTAAAACTGCAAGGGCAGAAAGCCACAGGGATACTAATTACTGAAACATGGCCCACCTATTTGCGGTAAGTGTAAAGTGCCTACGAAATCATGCATCAAACTGAATCGAACAGGAATGCCCTCCATTATTAACATCCACAATTAGCAACATTTGCCATTTGCCTCGTTTCTAAAATTATAATTTCTAAATGCTTCATTCAACCCATGATATTCATATTAAATAATAAGAATTTCAATGATTAAAAGCTTGCCATAGTTGTAGGTTAGGTAGAGATTAATGGAATTTTCGAATATGATATTGTCTGATATATCATTAACATTATCAACTCACTTACCAACAGATATGCTGGTTGTATATTGATATTCCGATATATTTATAAAAGTATTTCGATAGATTGAAAATCTTGATATATATATTACAATTTTACCATAAAAAAATGATATTTTTCAAATGAATAATAAATTAAATATACCTGCAAAAAATTAATTAAAAATTTATTGGCTGAACACATCGAAATGGTAGTATTTTAAATATATTACCTAAGAAAGAATGGTTTAATTAATTTTTTATAGTCTAGTAATAATTTTTTTTCTTATAATGGAAGTATTAATAATGGTATAATTTTTATTTATTATTAATTAACTTTTAATTCCTTCCGTCTTATTTATTTTTTCTTAATTTTATTATGTTGCTCTAGTTCTTAGCAATAAATCTTTTTTATGGTAAGTGTTAATGCTTTTATAGTATTTTATTGATTGATCATTATCGATTTTCGTTCGTCATTTTTATTACATTTTTTCATACAGTTAAGCAGTTTAATTTATAATTTTCCGATTTATAGTAGTAGATACTATATAGTTTAATTTAAAATTAAAATTTAATGTATATTGTAACAAATCGTTAAATAATTAAAAACCTGCTTATCTTTATTATATATGTTTTGTTACATTGATGTAACATTCAAAATCGTTTCTGAATGATCTATACTAAATTATTTGATAATTCCTATAATATTTTTCAATTAGTCAACTATTGAATTGAAATATTTAAATTGATTATTGTTCGGTTAATAATGTTTTATAAATCAAAATGATATTAATCTTAATTCTTTAAAATATTATTCAGCTGGGTATCGTATTTTTTTATTATTATTAAATTATCATATTTTTTTTTTTTATTAATTATACCAACACTTTCACTTAGGCACACTTTTTTATATAATTTGTATATATATATATATATATATATATATACATATATAATATATTTTCTGTCATTATAAAAATAATTAAAATTACAATAAGACGTATTAATATAACTTAAATGAAATTTAATTCGGTTAGCCACTAATTAATATTTATGAGTCATTTTACTGTTTATATAATAGTTATTAAAATTATTTTACTGTTTTATAATTTTCTAAATTTTATTACTTCAACGTGAGAAAATTAAGCAGTTTCAACGATTTACAAAAATTTTCAACGAAGCTAAAAATTGCCAGAAAACCAACAATATATAAATTAAATTTCGTTAATTTTATACTAAATAAGTCATTTCATGGTGTTTAATGGTAAAAGTATATGTATAGCTACGTGAAGAAATGTTTTTATTTTCACTACAATAAGAAATAAAAATTATTTAGTAGAACTTGTTGGACTAGATTATTTATTAGCTACAAATTGAAAAGGGTGGATAACCACAATAAATAAATCGATGAACTAAATAACCACAACAAAATTTTAAAAAAACCACTCTGTAATGGGACAACAGTTGCAATGATTTTTAAAGTAAATAAATGTAATGTATCTATTCATATTACATAAGCATTCAAGCTCATGCCACTTAGGCTCTGTGTTTAAAAACACGTTATATTGAAAAAAAAAATTATATACTTATATACTCATACATATTGTTAGTACTAAAAAAATCCTCTAAAAAAAAATAAATAAAATTTTATAAAATTTTTATTTTAAGTAAAAATATAGGAAAAAAAGTATAATAAAAAAAAATATATATATATTGATAAAAAAATAAATTATATACTTATATACTCATACATATTGTTAATACTATATAATTGTTTATTAGTTTTGGAAAATTGTCTGTAGCGATTAATAAGTATGATGTGTTTAAAGCAACCCAATGTAATTGGGCATCACCCTTTTATGATAATAAAGTGATTCTCTCGAACGTACAAAAATATTTAATGATTCAGTTAAAAAAACTATCTAAATTTTGTTAATTTTATACCACATATGTAACAGAATGGTTGGCTGAATAGGTCTTTGTAGTGTTAGTTGTTGGAAAAAGTATTCAGTTTGCTAAAAGAAGAACTGAAACATTTTTTTTTGTTAATCTAATAATAAAAAAATTAAAACGACATATTAAGACTTGTTAACGGTTACAAGCTAAATAGGGTGGATAACCCCA